TAGGCTGTCACTGCAGCCTCAACCTTCTGGGCCCAGGCAATCCTCCCACCTAAGCCTCCCAAGTAGCTGCAACCACAGGAAATGTCACCATGCTCAACAATTTTTCTGTAGAGACAGTGTGTCCCTGTTGCCTAGGCTGGTCTCAGAACTTCTGAGCCAGATTCTGCTGCCTTGGCCTTCTAAAGTGTTAGGACTATAGGTGTGAGCCACATGCGTGTGCTTAAGGGAGAATTTTTAAGACTCAGGTTGCTATCACTAACACAATCATTAACTATTCAGAAAATGTGAAGTTTTCTTCTCAATTATTATTATTTTTGAGATGGAGTCTCACTCTGTCGTCCAGGCCAGAGTATAATGGCGCAATCTCGGCTCATTGCAACCTCTGCCTCCCAGGCTCAAGCGATTCTTTTGCCTCAGCCTCCCAAGCCTCCCAAGAAGCTGGGATTACAGGCACCTGCTACCATATGAGGCTAATTTTTGTATTTTTTTTTTTATAGAAACAGGGTTTCACCATGTTGGCCAGACTGGTCTCAAACTCCTGACCTCAGGTAATCCACCCACTTCCACCTCCCAAAGTGCTAGGATTACAGGTATGAGACACCTCACTTGGCCTCAATTATTAGTATTTAATAGAAATTAACATTACCTGGCAGGGCACGGTGGCTCACGCCTATAATCCCAACATTTTGGGAGGCTGAGGCAGGTGGATCACGAGGTCAAGAGATGGAGACCATCCTGGCCAACACGGTGAAACCCCATCTCTACTAAAAATACAAAAATTAGCTAGGCACGGTGGCGTGTGCCTGTAGTCCCAGCTACTCGGGAGGCTGAGGCAGGAGAATTGCTTGAACCCAGGAGGCGGAGGTTGCGGTGAGCCAAGATGGCGCCATTGCACTCCAGCCTGGGTAACAAGAGCGAAACTCCGTCTCAAAAAAAAAAAAAAAAGACCCTACTAGGAAACCTAGTAAAACCCTGTCTCTACAAAAACAATTTAAAAATTAGCCAGATGTAGAGGCACTTGCCTATAGTCCTAGCTACTAGGCAGACTGAGGCAGAGTATCATTTGGGCTCAGGAGTTCCAGGATGCAGTGAGCTATGAAGGTGCCATTTCGCACCAGCCTGCACAGCAGTGAGACCCTCCCAGTCAATAAATAAATAGATAAACTTATTTGCCACACATATCATCATGCATTTTTAGGAGACACCTACGTATCTTTTTAAGGACTGTCTTTTTAAGCAAGGTTCAATGTTGAGTTCATTTACTAAAAGTAAATGTGTAGTCAACTCTAAAAGTTATTTTCATGTTAATGAAGAGTACATCCAAAACTGCGAATAATCCACAAATTATACATAAAATAATATATTTGACTTCCAGCAAAAGCAACATTTCTCCAGCAACAGAGACTACATTGCTAAAGGGTAACGTTAATTTCTTTCTTTCTTTTTTTTTTTTTTTTTGAAACAGAGTCTCACTCTGTCACCAGGCATTAGGCTGGAGTGCAGTGGCACGATCACGGCTCACTGCAACCTCCGCCTCCTGGGTTCAAGCAATTCTCCTGCCTCAGCCTCCTGAGTAGCTGGGACTACAGGTACACGCCACCGTGCCTAGCTAATTTTTGTATTTTTAGTAGAGATGGGGTTTCACCGTGTTGGCCAGGATGGTCTCCATCTCTTGACCTCGTGATCCAATTTTTAGTTGAGACGGGGTTTCACCATGTTGACCAGGATGGTTTCGATCTCTTGACCTCGTGATCCACCCCCCTCGGGCTCCCAAAGTGCTGGGATTACAGGTGTGAGCCACCGCACCCGGCCCCCTAGTAGGGTCTTGAACTCCGGGCCTCAACTCTTGCGTTGGCTTCCTTCCAAAGCAGTGGGGTTACAGGTGTGAGCCGCTGTGCCCTACCATGTTGATTTTTTTTTTTTTTTTTTGAGATGGAGTCTTGCTCTGTCGCCCAGGCCAGAGTGCAGTGGCATGATCTCAGGCTCCCGGGTTCAAGCGATGCTCCTGCCTCAGCCTCCTGAGTAGCTGCGATTACAGGCGCCTGCCACCATGCCAAACTAATTTTTGTATTTTTAGTAGAGATGGGGATTCACCATGTTGGCCAGGCTGGTCTCGAACTCCTGACCTCATGATCCGTCTGCCTGGGCCTCCCAAAGTGCTGGGATAACAGGTGTGTGTGTGAGCCACTGCCCAAGGCCAAAATTTCGATTCTTTAACATGGCCCTACAAGGACTTTTGTGGACTCTGCTCCATTCTCCACTACTACTACATTCTCCCTAATAAAAGCCGTTTGCTTTGCCTAGAATGCTCTTCGACTATACACTGACTACCACGAGCAGCAATACTATTAATAACAGTTACGACCTACCGAATTCTAATTAGGCATGGGACACTTTATATATATTGTTAGTTTATAATTTATGAAGCAGATACTATTCTTATTCCAGGTGTCCAAATAAGCCACAGAGAAATGAAGCCATTTACTGAGAGGAACACAGCTATTAAAGTGTAGGCACTTTAATCTGTTTCAATCCAGATCTGTCTGAATTCAATGATGTTCCCAAACCCTGCTACTAAAGTATCAACTTTTTCCAAGAAGTCTGACCTGTTTAATATCCTCTAATAGCAAATGTGATAAAGTTGGTATTCAAGACACTGGTTTACGAAGACCTGTGTACTTTATGCCTCCTCAGCTGGAAGATAAACAAGCCATATGAACTCAGATAAGGCAGCATTTTGTTTACTCTTGCTTCCCTAGCTCCTACCACAGTTCCTGGTACACCTAATGGGTGTTAATAAAGATTTGTTGAATAATCAAATAAGTGAAACTGCTTTTAAACACAAAGCCATAATACAATGTTATCTTCGAATTTAGCTAAGGAACATCATCAAGCTTACCAGTTTATGATCTAGACTCCACCTTTCCCCATTTTTTCCGTGTGGTACTTTTGCTTATATCCGTTCTTCTGTGACTGTTTGCCACAATTCCTTAAATACTTCCACCCTTCCCTTTCACGGCAGCGAGTTGTCGTTTGTGAACCTCTTTTACAGAGAAAAACTAGAATGTTACTTTTCCCTTCACGGCAATTCTTTAAAATTCCTGAAAGCCTTTAAAAGGATATTAGCGCAAACATCAGAGTTCGCTGAGGGAAAAACTATCTTTAAAAAATGAATTTCAAATCAAGGCTAGGCTGATTGGAGAAAAGCAACCTAGTACATTTATAAAGGAAACCTTCCAGTCCCAGGTGGCATCCTATTTTTCATAATTTACCGAAGGCCCTTGATAATATAAATACTGAGAAAACAGGTGCTGCACTGAGCAGGGGGTCTGTCTAAATCAACCTTTTTGGCTCCATTTTTTGACAAAGGGCCAAGAGGTCAGCGTCATCGGTCCAGTAGTTCTCATAACATTGGAGGGGAAGAGGAAAGAGGAGAGGGGGTGAGGAAAGGAAACGGGGAGAGGAAGTGTGGCAAACAGTAAATATTCTTCAGGTAGAGCCAGGGCTCGGGCCGCGTCCCCAGGTGCCAAACGACCGTAAACGTTGTAAATTTTCTTTTCAATGAAAAAAAAAAAAAATGACATCTGGCTTTTTAAGTAAGAGAATATACGAATAAGGAAGGTATCAGGTCTCGTGAGAACTTCGGCGCCGGATCCGCGTCCGGAACGACACCAAGGACCACCGGTCCAACCGCCGCCCGCTCGCGGATGTCCCCGGGGGCCCGACGCCGGCCAGGCTTCCCCTAGCGCTCCCACTACCCAGAAGTCCACGCGTCTCGGCGCGCACGCGCAGCGGCGACGACCGTCTCAGGAAGAGGAAAATGGAATAAACAACTCGGAGGAACCAGAGCGCGAGAGAACGAGTGGAGGCAGAATTTAAAAATAAACTGGCCCATCCGCCCTCCCCACCCGCTCGTCGCCGCCGCTCCCTCTTCCCCTGCCCGCGCCCTCGAAGTCCCCGTCTGGGCCCGCGCGCCCACCCCGTCGTCCCGCGCGGCCCCTTTAAGAAAAGAGAACGAGAGAGTGAGTGAGAGAGAATCCCAACTCTCCCCCTACCCTCCCTTCTTCTACCCCCTCCTCCCTTCCCTCTCCCCTCCCCCCTCTCCCCGGGCGGCTCCGGCTCCCGCAGCGGGACAGACCCACCCGCCCAGGCTTTTATCCGGCATAGGCAGCGTCTTCCTTCCCTCCCCCGTCTATGGTGGCGGCGGCGGCGGCGGCTCCTCGGGCGGCGGCGGAAGACGAGGCTGCGGCGTTGCCATGAACAGTGGCGGCGGCCTCCCGCCCCCCTCGGCCGCCGCCTCCCCTTCCTCCTCCTCGCTGGCGGCGGCAGTGGCGGTGGTGGCTCCGCCGGGGGTCGGGGGAGTCCCCGGCGGGGCGGCGGCAGGAGTGAAGCTGAAGTACTGCCGCTACTACGCCAAGGATAAGACTTGCTTCTACGGGGAGGAGTGTCAGTTCCTGCATGAGGACCCAGCCGCCGGGGCTGTCCCGGGCCTCAGCCTCCATAGCAACAGCGTCCCCCTGGCTCTGGCGGGTGCACCCGTGGCCGGCTTTCCGCCCGGAGCGGTCCCGGGCGGGGGAGTTGGGCCGCCCCCCGGGCCCAAGAAGCCGGACCTGGGGGACCCGGGGGCAGGAGCCGCAGCAGGCGGAGGAGGCAGCAGCGGGGGACTCGATGGACCGCGGCTGGCAAGTGAGTGTGGTCCGGGCGGGGCGGGCCGTGGCGGCGGAGGGCAGGCCTGGGGCCGGATGAGGCCCTGCTGCCGACGGGAGCTGAGCCCGGCCCGCGGGCTCCTCCCTCACCTCCCAAGGCGGTCTGAGAGGCCTAAGCCGGGCCTGAGCCCTACTTCTTCCTGCTTCCCCTCCCCACTGCCTCTGGCGAGCCGGGGAGTGAGGGGAGGCTGGGTTCCCGGGAACGTGGGTGGGAGGACTGGGGTGATGTGAGTGGGGGCGGGGAGGAAGGGGGATGGGTTGTGGCGTGCCGTGTGTGAGAAAGGGGGTGTCGTTTCCGGGGGGTGTGGAAAGGGGCTGGGTTTGCAGGCACATGTGTTTTGCGTGCCCGTGTGGAGTGGCGTCTGCAGTGTTGAGGTTCCCTAGTGGGGAGGAGTGTGTGTTGGGGGGGGGCGGGAGGTGGTGGGGGACGGAGGTGAGGGGTGGGCTTAAAGCGCGTGGAGTAGGTTGAAAGAACGGAAAAAGTTGGTAGAAGGCATGTGGGGAGAAAGGTTTTCCAGGCGGGAAATGCTTTCTAAGGATTAGGAGGGAGAAGACTGCCGCATTCACAATGTGCTCAGGTTTGATCGAGAGTTTAGAGACTTCACAAAGATGCATTTCAACAGTTTCCCTGAAAGCTAGAGTAAGATTGCTGGGTGTCAGTTGGGATCCTGTCTTCTACAGGTTTGTATCAAGCAAGCTCTTAGCATTGTGTCTTGAGTGCATGTCATGTGCAGCCTGCATTTATGTTCGACTGAGCACTTGGGTGGAGAAATCTAAAGGCTGTTTATGTTTTTTTCATTTGTTAACTTTTTTTTTTTTTTTTTTTTTTTGAGACAGTCTCGCCCTGTCACCCAGGCTGGAGCACAGTGGCGCGATCTCGGCTCACTGCAACTCCGCCTCCCAGGTTCAAGCTATTCTCCTGTCTCAGACTACCGAGTAGCTGGGATTACAGGCAGGAGCCACCACGCCCAGATTATTTTTGTAGTTTTAGTTGAGATAGTGGTCACGCTGTATTTACCAGGCTGGGCTCGAACTGCTGGCCTCAAGTGATCTGCCCTCCTTGTCCTCCCAGAGTGTGTTGATAATCTGTTGATTTGCAACTTGTTGGTTGTTGGTGGAGTTTACAGTTAACATAAATGTGAGTGTAATCCATTAGAGAATGTTGCCTTTATGAATAGAGTGGGTGCCAGATGTTCTGTTGATTGAGCGTTTCTAAACCAACTTGGAGTCCTACTTTCCTGGTAATTCTGGAGAACTTTAAGATCTTGAAATAATCTGATAGGCAGTTGAATTTGTACATGAGAACATTTTGTCTTTTGACACTGTGAATGAATCTGATAGAAAGTTTTAGCATTTAATTGCACTATGAAGATTAATACCTTCCCCGGGGTTTTGCTTTCTTGCTTTTTCTTCTAAGATGGGGTCTTCCTACGTTGCCCGAGCTGGTCTGGAACTCTTGGGCTCAAGCGATCTTCATGCCTGGGCCCCCCGAAGTGCTGGGATTACCGGAGTGAGGCACCATGCTGGGCCAAGTTTTTCTTTTTTCTCTCTCTTCTCTTTCTTTTATAAAAGTGTTTCATTTGTTGTCATGGGCTTGACTTTAATGAAGATATATTTGCTGAGGCTGATATGCTAAGAAAATTAATTTGTAAGTTCAGATGTTTTGTAAAACAAATAGTTACTTATGGGTGGAAATTAATTAATTAATTAATTAATTTGACGGACTTAGTCTCCAGGCTGGAGTGCAGTGGCCTGATCTTGGCTCACTGCAACTTCGGCCTCTTGGGTTCAAGTGATTCTCCTGCCTCAGCCTCCTCAGTAGCTGGGACTATAGGCACGCACGCGCCACCACGCCCAGCTAATTTTTGTATTTTGGAAGAGATGGGGTTTCACCATGTTGGCCAGGCTGGTCTTGATCTCTTGACCTTGTGATCCGCCTGCCTCGGCCTCCCAAAGTGCTGGGGTTACAGGCCCGGCCTTGGGTGGAATTTTATCTCTCTTGAGCATCAACTTTGCATTTTCAGGGTAAACTTGCTGGATGTGTGATTTGTGACTCAATTTAATAGTAATGTTTGATTAGTAACCAATGACACTGAACAATAGTTTTCTTACCCACAGAAAGAGACACTATTTTTTTTTTTTGAGACGGAGTCTTCCACAGTCAGGTAGGCTGAAGTGCAGTGGTGCAATCTTCCTGGCTCACAGCAACCTCCGCCTCCCAAGTTCAAGTGATTCTTCTGTCTCAGCCTCCCAAAGTAGCTGGAACTACAGGCATGCGCCACCACCCACGGCTAATTTTTGTATTTTTAGTAGAGATAGGGTTTTGCCATTTTGGCCAGGTGGGTCTCAAACTCCTGAACTCAGGTGATCCTCCCGCCTCAGCCTTCCAAAGTGCTCTGATTACAGGTGTGAGCCACTGTGCCGGCTAGAAAGAGGCACTTTTAAAAATGCTGGTGTTCCACTTCATAGGTGATCTTTCTAGGATTTTCTTTATTAAAAAAATTCTTAAAGTTTTATTTATTTATTACTCTTCTCCCTGACAGCTCTGAAGATCTTTCTAGGATTTTCTTACTTTTTTTTTGAGACTGAGTTTTGCTTTTGTTGCCCAGGCTGGAGTGCAGTGTGGTGATCTTGGCTCACCACAGCTTCTCACCCTGGGTTCAAGCAATTCTTCTGCCTCAGCCTCCCAAGTAGCTGGGATTATAGGCATGCACTACCATGCCCAGCTAATTTTGTATTTTTAGTAGAGACAAGGTTTCTCCATGTTGGTCAAGCTGGTCTCCAACTCCTGATCTCAGATGATCCTTCTGCCTTGGCCTCCTTAAGTGCTGGCATTATAGGCGTGAGCCATCTTGGTGGCTGAGGATTTTCTAATTAACACACAGTAGGTAGTAGATTGGAGATAGGAAAGATAGGACAGGATGTAAGCATGTGAAGATGGGAGGTGAAGGTAAGCACTGTTAAGGTGGAGAAAAAATATTGGCAGTGGCTCAAAGGTGGGACTATTTTATATCTTAGGAAAATAATTGAGATATAAGGACTTGAGAAGATAGGCAGTTAATGCTGAAAAGATTTTAAAATTAATACTTTGTCACTTAGTAAAGGTTGTCTGATTAAATAGTTGATTTATGTATTTGGATTCGGTGGTGTTTGCTTTAGCTTGACTGAAGCCTAAGGCTCCTCTTTTCTGTGATAGGCTTCTTGGTGTCTCTTAGTAATTCCTTATGGATGGAGACCTCATCATAAGGAATCACAACCTAGGGATTACTGAGAGATAACCAATATTGGGAAATAATGTTGCTCAGGAATCAGGAAAGAAGGTTGTGTTGGTAATTGTATGGTGGCTTTGAATTTTTACACTTGCTGTAAAATTTTCGGTTGACTTTCTACCTTTTGCTGTATTCTTATTCTGTGTGTTTTGAGACAATATTGATATGTTTATTTTATTTTAAAGAGATGATGTCTAGCTGTGTTGTCCACACTGGTTTCGAACTCCTGGGCTCTAGCAATCTCCTGCCTTGACTTCTCAAAGCACTGGAATTATAGGTGTGAGTCACCACATCTGGCCTTGATTTGTTTTTATTTTTATTTTTTGATTTATTAATTAAGTGGATGAGGCAATTAGAATAGATGGTACTTTTTTTTTTTTTTTTTTTTTTTTTGAGGCAGGGACCATGGGCGCTGGCTACCATGCCCCTCTAAATTGGGAGAGTTGTGGTTTCCCAATGTTGCGCAGGCTGGTCTCAAATTTTGGGGCTCAAATCGATCTGCCCATCCTGTGAGTCACCATACTCTACCATAATTTAGTATTTTTAATCTCCATGTTTGTGGATTTAGATTGAATTATTTGACAACAAAAGAAACAAAAGATTTAATATAGAAATACAAATTTATGGTTTCCCTTTAAGGGCATCTCTTACCTATTTTGGAATTAGGGCTGTTGATAGAGCATAATTCTCTCCATTTGGACTCATTCCCTAACTGGATGACTTTTACATCTAGGCATTTGAGATTTTGACCCTAATTTTAGTACATCACATTTGCAGAATTGTTTTTGTTTTGTTGGTGTTTCAGGTAGTGTTAAAAACTTGGAGGTGGGTGCATGAGAAAACTTTATCCTTATTTGCAAGCATTGGAAAACTGAAGCACAAAAGCTTTTTCTTAATACACTTAGTTGCAATGATGTTTCAACCTTATAAGGAAATTGCAATTTAGTTTTTTTCTTCTTCCTCTTTTTGGGGAGGTGGTAGGGGAGTTCTTGCTATGTTGTCTAGTCCAGGTTGGACTCCCAACTCCTGGGCTCAAGTGATCCTAGCACCTCAGCCTCCCAAGTAGCTGGGACTACAGGTGTGTGGCACAATGCCTAAATTACTTTAAGTTTTTAACATTTCATATTTCTTCTTAGTCTTGGGATTTTTCTAAGGCTTGAGAGTGATATGATTTGTATTCAACTGAATTATCTATTCTTCACATTTAATGATGTAATTCTGATATTTTCAACTGGCTAGATTTTCAAAACTGCTTTAATTTTCAAAGTGCACAATTTTTAGCAGGTAAAATATTTATTATGCCAGTATTTGTATTTTATGTACATAATTTGAAACCAAGTAGATTTAATTTACCAAAATATACTTTTCAGTTCTACTAATGTAGTTACTAGTGAATAAGGCATGTCCCAGATAGAATCATGGCTCCTTTATTTACTAGCTTTGTGACTGACCGAATTTTTAACCTTTAAGCCTCAGTTTTTCTCATCTTGAAAATGGAGATGATGTTATGAGAATTACATGGTATTTAATGTACATAGTGAGGTTTCAGTCTTAGTTGTTGCTATTATTGAATATTAACAATCTATAGTTAACCTCTACATTTCCGTTCTTCAAATTTTTGAGAGCATATATTGAAGAATAGTAAAATAGCTACAGATTATTGAATTGTGGTTGTCTGTCCAAATGGAGGAGAGTAGTGCCATGGATAACTTGAAGTTCAAATGTTAAGTTTGGAGTATGTAACATATGATGTGTGGCAAAGCTGTTTTTGTTTAACCCAGGACTAGACTTTTCATCTCACAAACCTATATTAAGGGACAGAAAAGTGAGTACTGGGAATTTGCCATTAGGATAGCTGGTCTAAGTTTAAACATTTTTATTGGAATAATACACTAAGTGTATCACAAAGACTTTATAATAACATTGATTTCACTCATTTAATATCCTGCTTCCAAGGTGGTAAGCTCTGATTTAGGTGATAGGAACAAAATAAAACAAAACTCAACCCTAATGGAGTTTACATTCTAATGGGACTCTGAACATCTATAAGGTAATACTTGGTTTTGATAAGTTTTATGAGGAAAACCCAAGGAGGGATAAGATAACTCCAGGTAAGATTCAGTTAATGAATAAAGCACTTTTTCCTGTGAAAGTGCTGTGTGCTTTTGGGGTGGTATGACCGTAGACTGAAAGTGCATTTGAAATGAGCCTTTAAGAAGATAAATGATTATCAAAAGCAAACCAAAACATTCTTTTATATTCCATTTTGAGGAATTTATTTTTTGACTAGTCAAGTGCAGTAGTGAGAATGGGGGAAGAGTATAACTAGGAGTTCGATCTATAACTGACTGTGAACAATCAGTTGAGGAATTGATTTCCCCAATTTTAAACTTTATTCTGAGATAATTGTAGAATTACCTGCAGTTGTAGGAAATAATATGGATATCTCATGTACTCCTTTTTTAAATATATATAAAGTATGGTAACATCTTTTATAGCTGTAGTACAGAATCATGGCCAGTATTGATTGCTGTAGATTTCCACAGTCTGATTTGCACTCGTGTGTGTGTGTGTGTGTGTGTGTGTGTGTGTATAGATGGTGTCTAACTTAACAATGGTTTGGACTTCAGGATCTTGCAAAAGCAATAAACATTCGGTAGAAACTGTACTTCCAGTACCCATTACAACCATTCTGCTTTTTACTTTTGTACAGTAGTCAATAAATTTCATGAGATATTTAATACTTTATTATAAAATGGGCTTTGTTCTAGATTATTTTGCCCAGTTATAGACTAACTGTAAGTGTTCTGAGCACTTTTAAGGTAGGCTAGGCTAAGCTATGATGTTCAGTAGGTTAGGTTTATTACATATGTTTTCACCTTATGACATTTGCAACTTAGATTGGATTTATTGGAATGTAATCCTGTTGTAAGTAGTCGAGCATCTGTATTTGAACCTTTGGAATTTTATCACATGTAGGTTTGTATCCCCACCATCACTGTCAATTTGCCTCTTTATAACCTGCATTCCCTCCCAAACTTTGGCAACCACTAATTTCTTCTCCATTTCTGCAGTTTTATCACTTCAAGAATGTTCCATAAATGAAATTATATAGCATGTAATCCTTCGGGATTAGCTTATTTTTCCACTCAACTTAATCCCTTTTAGCCAAATTATTGGTATATGTCAAGAAATCATTTGTTTTTATTGCTGAGTTTTTCCTCTCATTTTAACTTGAAAAATTTATATCCATCTTTGTTTTGGAGGAGTATCTTTTTGCTTGTTTTTCTGTAAGCATATACAAAGCTGTGAACACTTACAATGTCTAGAAATGGCATTTAAAAAATTTGCGCTAGGAGTTTATTTTATAAATTTATATATATGTACACACACACACACGGACACACACACACACACACAAATACACATTGAGACAGGGTCTTGCTCTGTTGCCTAGGCTAGAACGCATTCCTAGGTTCAAGTGATCCTCCTGCCTTAGCTGAGTAGCTGGAACTATAGGCATAAGCCACCATGCCTGGCTAACTTTTAAATTTTTGTAGAGGTGTGGTCTTGCTTGTTTCCTTGGACTCCTGGGCTCCAGTGATCCTCCCATGTAATCCCAAAGTGCTGGGATGGGATTACAGGCATGATCCACTGGCTTAGCCTCTGGTAGGATTTTAAGGAGCATTAATTGACAGATTTAAAGACATTTAAATATAAATACACACACACACACACACATTTTGCTTATCTGTTTATTTCAGGGTTAGTTTTTACTCTTTTAATCGAATTAAAAAAAAATATTTATTTGTTGTTTATTTTGTTTAACGCAGAGTCTCACTCCATCAACCAGGCCGGAGTGTGGAGTGCAGTGGTCTGATCTCAGCTCACTGCAGCCTCTACTTACTGGGTTCAAGCAATTCTCTTGCCTCAGCCTCCTAGCTGGACTTAGGTGCACGCCACCACACCCGGCTAATTTCTTTGTCTTTTTAGTAGAGACAGGGTTTCACCATGTTGGCCAGGCTGGTCTCGAACTCCTGACCTCAACTGATCGGCTCACCTTGACCTCCCAAAATTCTGACATTACACTGTGACCCATTGTTCCCAGCCCTATTTGATTTAAATTTTTACTTAAAAAAATTTTTAAGGAGATGGGGCTGGCCTTGAATTCATGGCCTTAAGTAATACTCCTGCCTTAGTCTCTGAAGTAGTAGCTGGGATGACAGGTGGGAACCACCGTGCCAAGCTAATTTAGTTTTTTTTTTTTTTTAAGACAGAGTTTCTGTCTGTCTTGAAGGCTGGACTGCAGTGGTGCAGTTTCGGCACATTGCAGCCTCTGTCTCCCAGGTTCAAGTGATTCTCAATTCTCATGTCATGGTCTTCTGAGTAGCTGGCATTACAGGCTTGCACCACCACACCCAGCTAATTTTTGTATTTTCAGTAGAGACGAGGGTTTCACCATGTTGACCAGGCTGGTCTTGATCTCCTGACTTCAAGTAATCCACCTGCCTCAGCCTCCCAAAGTGCTGGGAATGCAGGTTCACACCACTGTGCCTGGCCCTAATTGAGTTTTTAAATGATGAAAGGTACATTTTTTTGGTAAAAATTTACATCGAAGTAGACATGTATAAAGTCAAAATAAATAAGTCTCCTCTTCTTATTGCTCAGGTTTAATCATTTTTTTTTTTTTTGAGACAGAGTTTTGCTCTTGTTACCCAGGCTGGAGTGCAATGGCGCGATCTCGGCTCACTGCAACCTCTGCCTCCTGGGTTCAGGCAATTCTCCTGCCTCAGCCTCCTGAGTAGCTGGGATTACAGGCACGCGCCACCATGCCCAGCTAGTTTTGTGTATTTTTAGTAGAGATCGGGTTTCATCATGTTGACCAGGATGGTCTTGATCTCTTGACCTCGTGATCTACCCGCCTCGGCCTCCCAAAGTGCGGGGATTACAGGCTTGATCCACTGCACCCAGCCATCATTGTTAATAATTTGTTTGTGTATATATCTTTTCCACACATTGTATGATGCAGATATATATCTAGTATATATATTTAAATGTATATTTGTTGTGAACTGAACGCAAGCCCGGGAATCTCGTCCAGCGAGAGGGTCCCAAACCTGGAAGAGAGCGCGCGCTGGAAAAAAGGAGATAGAAAAGGCGAGGTGTGGAGGGCTACATGCGCTATGCTCATGCAGCAATTTTATTTTTGCAATGTGTTTCATTATATACTTTTCTGAAGTTAAAGTTGTGTACGCCAGATCAACGTACTTAAGTTACAGCAAGCAAGTTACGCCCACTAAGTTATGCCCAGTAAGTAAGTTAAGTCCAGTAAGTAGGTTACGCCCAATAGGTCCAGGTAAGTAAGTTACAGTCACGCCCAGTAAGTTATGGTAAGTTACAGTTACACCCAGTAAGTTAGGATAAGTAAGTTACCAAGTGTAAATACTTAATATTTTACAGTGAAGGTAACAAGGGTCAAAAATGAACACAATCAAGCAATAAACCATAAGAAGCCAAAAGTGGACACATTGCCTCCCAAGTCCTCATATCCATAAAGTAATGTCTGTTAATTATTTAGAATAACATAGTCCCTGTCTCGGTTCCTGCCTTCTCTCAGCTCAACTCCCCCAACCGGGGATCTGTATCCGGGCTCAAGCTCACCATATGGTAAGGCCCATTTCCTAGGGGCCTCACACGGGAGCGATCCCCACAGGTCTCCCTTATATATTTACCTATATATACTCTGTGTGTGTGTGTGTGTGTATATATATATATTTATTTTTTGAGATGGAGTCTTGCTGTGTCATCAGTCTGGAGTGCAGTGGCACGATCTCGGCTCACTGTAACCTCACCTGTGTCAGCCTCCTGAGTAGCTGGGATTACAGGCACATGCCACCACGCCCAGCTAATTTTTGTGTTTTAGTAGAGATGGGGTTTCACCATGTTGGTCAGGCTGGACTTAAACTCCTGATCTTGTGATCCACCCACCTTGGCCTCCTGAAGTGCTGGGATTACAGGCTTGAGCCACCACACCCAGCGATACATTTTTTTTTCTTTCTTTTTTTTCTTTACATGATGAGCTCCAATTTACAGACATTTTTCATATTTAAACAAATCCTAATATAAGAAAAATACGAATAATATTTTGCTTTTGGAATTAGAAATGTAGTACATGCACAGGTTAAAAATTTAAATAGCACCAAAGGGTACACAGTGAAAAATAGCTTACTTCCCTCTCTAGTTACCTGATTCCTGCCTCCCAAAGACAGTCGCTCTTTCTAGCTTATTTGGTAGCCATTGACAAATATTTTTTGCCTATACTGTTATTCATATGTTTATATTTCTCTATGTCTGACACATTAACACACGTATATATGCACATGCATGAGTACACACATGGAAGCACTCTGAATTTTCTTACCTAATGGCTTATCTTGTAGTTCGTTCCACATTCACACATAGAAATCTACCTTATTCTGTCTCATGGCTATGTAAATATTCCATTATATGTTTGTATTATTTGATTCTTTATAATGGATATTTCAATTGTTTATAGGCTTGCTATTACAAGTAATGGCACAAAGTTATGTTTTAATGCATTATGTATATTTAATACATATACATTTACACAAACATGTGAGATATACTTAAAGAGCATACAAAGTCTTCAGTAATCTGGTTCACACTTGATACATTTTAAAAAACAACAACAACAACACTGTGTGGGGTGTTGCGACTCATGTCTGTAATCCCAGTACTTTGAAAGGCCGAGACAGGAAGATTGCTTGAGCTCAGAAGTTCGAGACCAGCCTGGGTAATATAGTGAGACTCTGTCTCTACTAAAAATTTAAAAAAAAAAAAAAAAAAAGGCCAGGTAGGGTGGCTCACGCCTGTCATCCCAACACTTTGAGAGGCCATCGTGGGCAGATCACGAGGTCAAGAGTTTGAGACCAGCCTGGGCAACACGTGAAACCCCGTCTCTACTGAAATACAAAATATTAGCTGGGCATGGTGGCATGCACCTGTAATCCCAACTACTCAAGAGGCTGAGGCAGGAGAATTGCTTGAATCGGGAGGCAGAGGTAGCAGTGAGGTGACATTGTGCCACTGCACTCCAGCCTGGACAACAAAGCAAGACTCCGTCTCCAAAAAAAAGGAAACGTAGCTAGACTTGGTGGCTCACCTATAGTCCCAGCTACTCAGGAGGCTGCTACAGGAAGATTACTTGAGCCCAAGCGGTGGAGGACACAGTGAGCCGTGATCATGCCGCTGCATTCCAGTAAGACCTGTCTCCAAAAATAAAAAAAAAAGAAAACCACTGAATTTATATACCATCAGTTGAAAATAATATACTTGAAATACTCATTCATATTTGCCCCAGTAAAATTTTTTCTGTCCAGTGGCTCGCGTATCTAGAGATAGTTATATAAATCATACCTTTGGTAACTTAATAAGTTAATATTTGTAAATAGTCTAGTAGTCGCTGGGAAGTTTCATTTGTGTATGTAATAAAATTATATTGTTACTGATTATTTACTAGTTGATCTACATTCATGTTTTGTTTTGCTTTGTTTTTTAGAGGTGTTGCTCTGTCACCCAGGCTATAGTGCAGTGGCACCCTCATAGCTCACTGCATGCACGCTTGAACTCCTGGGCTCAAGTTATTTTCTTGCCTCAGCCTCTCGAGTAGTTAGGTCTACAGGGATACACAATCATACCTGGCTAATTTTTAAAAATTTTTCTGGAGACAGGGTCTCGCTATGTTTCCTAGGCTGGTTTTGAACTCCTGGCCTCAAGTGATCCTCTAACCTCAGTCTGACAAAGTGCTGTGCTGGGATTACAGGCATAGGCCACCATGCCTATGATACAGATCTTTTACACTGCTTTTAGAAATATCAAATAGAGCAATAATATGGTTGGAAAAAACTGGAAAGGACTTTATATATATCTTTAACTTTCTTATTTTGCTCCTACATTTCTAAGTTTACTCTGCTATAATACTGATGTTCCCAAATTTGATGATATGCTTGATTGAGAGATGAGATCAGGGTGAAGAAAGGCAAAATGGTATGAGGCCTTTTAAATTCCATAAGTCAGTTTTATGGTTCAGAGATGCTGTAGCCCTATGTCAGCTATCTCTGAGGAAGAGCCTCCTTGATAATGGTGGGGCAGGGAATCTTCTGCTTACTCCCAAAACTTTGGAAAATTAGTAAGGCAGCATTTAAAGACAATTTTTAGCTGGGTCCTCAGATACGATATACGTTTTAAAAAGATTTGGCCAGGTGCAGGGCCCATACCTGTAATCCCAGCACTTTGGGAGGCTGAGGAGGGCAGATCACCTGAGGTCAGGAGTTTGAGACCAGCCTGACCAACATGAAGAAACCCTGTTTCTATTAGAAATACAAAAAATCAGCCAGGTGTGGTGGCACACGCCTATAATCCCAGCTGCTTGGGATGCTGAGGCAGGAGAATCACCTGAACCCGGGAGGCAGAGGTTGCAGTGAGCCAAGATAGCACCATTGCACTCCAGCCTGGGCAACAGGAGCGAAACTCCATCTCAAAAAAAAAAAAAAAAAAAGATTTAATGTATATGTATATATAAAAAATATCTTTGAAAAACTTAGATTATGGTAAGCATTCAGCTTAGTGTGATTTGGGCTAATAATTAATGGAAATTAATTCATTTAATTGATTAATAAGCATTTATTGTTTACTCTGTTAGGTACTGTTTTAGGTTCTTAGGATATGTTAGTGAACAAAATAGATTAAAGAAAAATCCCTTCCTTTGTGGACCTTACATTTTTATTTATTTATTTTGATGTGGTTTCACCATGACGGCCAGGCTGGTCTTAAACTCCTGACCTCAGGTGATCCACCCATCTTGGCCTCCCAAAGTGCTAGGATTACAGGCGTGAGCCACCATGCCTGGCCTGGACCTTACATTTTAATGTATAAGACAGACAATATTTATAAATATAACTCCAGTAATCTTATATTATGTTAGAAGATGACAAGTCCTACTAAAAACAAAAGTGTAGTAGAGTAAGAGGGAATAAGAGTATAGGAATAGGGAGATCAAGGTAAACCTCTTGGGATTGAAATTTGAGTGTAGACTGGAGAATGGTAGCCAAGCCAGTAATCAGGAGAAAGTATCTCAGGCAGAGGAATAGAAGGCTCATAGATTGGTGTGGAGAGAGGAACAGGGAAGAATTGGACTTTTGCTTTTATTTTGTGTCAAAAGGAGGGATAGGATCTAAGGTTTTTAATTTTAATTTAATTTAATTTTTATTTTTCTTGCCCCTCCCTTGGATCTAGGTTTTTAAAAGAGTTCTGTGGTAAGAGAGCAGGAGAGAATTCAGGAGATAATTTGCAATAATCCAGCAAGAGATGATGTAGCTTAGGCAGGTTACAGCGTTGAAAGTGGCAAGAACTAGTCAGTGTTCAGATATATTTTCCAGGTACAGCCAGTGTAATTTCACATGAAATGTAGGGCATTGGAGAGAGGAGTCAAGGGTTGGTTTCAAGGATGTGGAAGGATGGATGGACTTGGTACCACCTGAGATGGGGGAATGCTGCAGACAGAGCAAATATGGGAGAGCAGATCAGGAGTTTGGTTTTGAACATGTTACTGTGAGAGTTATATTAGCCATTCAAGTGGAGATTTTGAGGAGGTAGGTAGATACGAATCTGGAGTTCTTGAGAGATATTAGGACTAGAGATAATAACTTTCAAGTCATCAGTGTATACATGGCGTTTAAAGTCATAGAACTGTATGCATTCACCAAGGAATATGGCTTGTATGAGTTCACCAAGGAATAAGAACTTGGGAAACACAAATATTTATTGATAAATCAGTAGGGTATTATCTTTTTTCCTAGGAGAAAGAAAGAATAGGTAAGTAACATTTGGGTTCTACATATGCGCCAGTCATGCTGTATATATATTTGCATACACTATCCTATCATATTTAATAACTAATCACTTTCATGAAATAGATAATGTTTTCATTTGACAGTTAAAAACTAGCACTTGAAAAGACTAGTTTTAATAACCAATTACAAGTTCTTTCACTATCCTTTGTATATGACCTTAAGAAATTGAGTTCAGAGGCCGGGCGTGGTGGCTCACCCCTGTAAAACCAGAACTTTGGGAGGCCAAGGTGGGTGGATCGCCTGAGGTCAGGAGTTTGAGACCAGCCTGGCCAACAAACCCTGCCTCTAATAAAAACACAAAAATTAGTTGGTCGTGGTGGTGGGCACCTGTAATCCCAGCTAGTCAGGAGGCTGAGGCAGGAGAATCCCCTGAACCCAGGAGGCAGAGGTTGCAGTGAGCCAAGATCTCCAGACAAGAGTGAAACTCCATCTTAAAAAAAAAAAAAGAAGAAGAAGAAGAAGAAAAGAGAGCCTCGGCTTAAGATGCAGACATGGCCAAGTCCAAGAACCACACTACACACAGTCAGTCCTGAAAATGGCACAGAAATGGTATCAAGAAACCCCAATCACAAAGATACAAATCTCTTTAGTAGGTGGACTCCAAGTTCCTGAGGAACATGTGCTTTGTCAAGAAGCACAACAAGAAGGTCCTAAAGAAGATGCAGGCCAGTAAAGCCATGAGTGCATGTGCTGAGGCTATCAAGGCCCTCATAAAGCCTAAGGAGCTTAAGTCCAATATCCCAAAGTGTACCAGTCACAAGCTCGATCAACTTGTCTACATTGCTCACCCCAAGCTTAGGAAGCATGCTTGTACTCGCATTGCCAAAGGGGTCAGGCTATGCCGGCCAGAGGCCAAGGATCAAACCAAGGCCCAGGCTGCAGCTCCATCTTCAGTTCCACCTCAGGCTCTGAGGTGCCAAGTCCCCTAAAAAGGCTTCAGAGTAGATATCTCTGTCTGCCAGCATGAGGACAGAAGGACTGGTATGAACCCCCAGGCTGCCGTCTGCATGGGGCTGGGGTCATCCTGTGCTATGTACACATCAACCTGAGGCAGGATTTAAGAAAAAAAATAAGAAATTAAGGTAGGATAGCAAAGTTTTTCTGTAGTGTTGAGAGTAGAATGTAAACCTTGTTCTTTTTAATACTGTATATCCTATTACAATTAAGTCCTTATGTGAGCTGAACATTCAGTCTTTGCTAGATTATTCTAATTAGCTGCCCTTGTATGGTTAGGTTAGCATGGAGTTAAAGATAAATGCCCCGTTTAAAAAAATGACAACCCTTCAGAAAACTCTGGCAGTTTACAGAAGAAATACAAATGGCTAGTAAGTATATAAAAGTTCCTAACGAGTGAATTAAAGCAAATTAAAACAAGTGTTCACTTATTTATTTATTTTTTACCTTTCAAGTTGATAAGAGCACAAAGATTGCTGTTACCTAGTGTTGGTGTGGGTTTGGGGTGGGGGAAAGACACTCCGGTATGATGCTTTTAGAAGTCAGTATTCATTAAAATTTAAGATGTCCACATCCTTTGGCACAATAGTTTATTTTTAGACTGATTCTATGGAAACACAAGATATATGTACAGAGTTATTCACTGCAGCTGATCTGTGATAGTGAAAACTTAAAAATAGTGAAATTCCTCTTTTTTTTTGTAAATTGGTGTCATAGTGAAGTTCCTCTTAATAAGGGTGTCATCTATATAGCAGAATATCATAGAGCAGTAAAAACAAGCAGGAGTTTTATGTACAGATAAGAAGAGATGCTTAAAATATATTACTAAGTAGGAGGAAGAAGAAATTAAAAAACAGTATGTGTAATACACTTTTAATTTTAAAAGATATGTAAGAAGAAAAGTTGTAGAGACAGCATTGAGTTGTTAATATTAGTATTTCTGTGGTGGCATGGTGGGAGACTTTGATTTCTATATTTCTGGATTTTTTTTTCCTCAAGTCTTTTATAATCAGAAAAAGAATCAGTAAAGATACATACACGCACGCAAACACGCATGCACACACGCACACACAACGAACCCAACCCCAACCCTTCAGATGCTAGGTTACTACAGGATTTAGCAAAAGAATTAGAAATGCATGTGGTTTGCTAGTTTATCCCAAATTCAGCATTAGTCTTCTGAGCTCATCCATGGGTTTGGATGATCTTAAACTAATATTTTATGTGACAAGTAAGCTGGTTTTAGAAACAAAATTTTTTTCTCTGTTATTAAATTCTTAGCCACATTACGGAGAAAACAATACTGGAAAACTTTTTAGGTCATTTATTACTTTATTGGCATCTTTTGATTGTGTAGAAAATAGTAATTATCTTAGCATAAATCTCAAAACTGCTTTTTATTGGAGGATATTTTTCAGTGAGTATTCAATTTGATGATACTAAATAGCTTCACCCAAGAGCCCAATTTATTTAGTTGTGGACGGCCGGGCGCGGTCGCTCACGCCTATAATCCCAGCACTTTGGGAGGCCAAGGCGGGTGGATCACAAGGTCAAGAGATCGAGACCATCCTGGTCAACATGGTGAAACCCCATCTCTACTAAAAATAGAAAAATTAGCTGGGCATGGTGGTGCACGCCTGTAGTCCCAGCTACTCAGGAGGCTGAGGCAGGAGAATTGCTTGAACCCAGGAGGTGGAGGTTGTGGTGAGCTGAGATCGCGCCATTGCACTCCAGCCTGGGTAACAAGAGGGAAACTCCGTCTCAAAATAAATAAATAAATAAATAAAATATTTAGTTGTGGATGTTCAGGTTTGTAGCAGATTCATCGTGGAAGGCCTATAGTGTTGCAGTATTCCCCAGAATCTGCTGTTTTTACTGGAGTCTTACTGCACTGCAGTTCTTTTCTGATTGAAGAGGCTAAATAATGTATACTGCAAACATGTTCAGGTAAAAACAGTGTACTGTATACACTCCAGTGAAACAGTGGGTTCTCAGCTGGGTACTTGTCTTTAAGCCACTTTATTCATCTGAAATTTCTGTTTAGGGAATTGTTTTTTCTTCTGGCTGTAGGCATTGCTGTGGCTATCTTGGTGCGTAGGTATAACAACCTCTCTAAGAGCCAATTTGAGATGGAGTTTTGTTCTTGTCACCCAGGCTGGAGTACAATGGTGTGACCTCAGTATACTGCAACCTCCGCCTCCCAGATTCAAGCACATCTACCACCTCAGCCTTCTGAATAGCTGGGATTACAGATGTGGGCCAGTAGGCCCACCTAATTTTTGTATTTTCAGTAGAGACAGGGTTTTGCCATGTTAGCCAGCCTGGTCTTGAACTCCTGACCTCAGGTGATCCACCTGTTTCGGCCTCCCAAAGTACTAGGATTACAGGTGTGAATCATGACACCCAGCCTGACTTTGCAGTTTTTAAAACAGTGCTAACTTTCCTTCCTGGAGGTCTGTTATTTTATGCAGACTACTCACTGTCTACTAAATAACGTAGTATGTGTTCTCTGGACACTGACTAGAGAACGTAATTTAATTATTGGGCACATATTGAACATTTCTATGCTAGGTATCATAATAGATATTGGGGAATACAAAGATGTATCAGGGTGGGCACATTGGCTCATGCCTCTAATCCCAGCACTTTGGGAGGTCGAGGAGGGTGAATCACTTGAGGTCAGGAGTTTGAGACCAACCTGGCCAACATGATGAAACTCTGTCTCTACCAAAAATACAAAAAAATTAGCTGGGCATGGTGGCATGCACCTGTAGTCTCAGCTGCTTGGGAGGCTGAGGCAGGAGAATCGCATGAACCCTGGAGGCAGAGGCTGCAGTGAGCCAAGATGGCACCATTGCACTCCAGCCTGGGCAACAAAGCAAGACTTCATCTCAAAAATAAAAAATAAATAAATAAAATAAAGATGTATCAGACATGGCCCTGGTCATTTGTGAGTGCATAGATTAATAAAGGAGTTTGACATTATAAAGTATTACATAGTATGATATTATATATATATACACACCTCTCATATATGTACATAAAGTGTGTAAGAAACTCTATTCAGGGATATTTTGAGAGGCAATATTTGAAATATTTTTCAAAAGATGTATGAGGCATACCTGGTAGAAAGGGCATTCTAGGCAAATGAGAAAAGACACAGGTTTGAGAGGAAGCACTATCCATAGTTTTGTAGTCATCTGACGGTAAGTGAATAGGCTAATTATGGAGATAGGTACTGGATAATAAGTTGTGGCCACGTTTTGAAGGCCCTTCTAGGTTATGCTAGTAAGTGATATGATAAGATCTGTGTTTTCCCACCCTCAAAGATGGCAGAAGGCAAGAAATAAAGTCAGAGCTGAACTGAATAAAATTGAGATTCAAGAAACTACAAAAGATTAATGAAAACAGAAGTTGGTTATTTAATAGAATAAAGCAGTTTCTCTTTAAACTGCTAACTAGACTAATAAAAAAGATCCAAATAAGCACAGTCAGAAATGACAAAGGGGACATTACCACCGACCCCACAGAAGTACAAAAAACCCTCAGACTATTATGAACACCTCTATGCATGTTAAGTAAAAAAACTACAAGAAATGGGTACATTTCTGGAAGCATATCTGCGTGTTAAGTAAAAAAACTACAAGAAATGGGTACATTTCTGGAAACATATCTCCCATGATTGAACCAGAAAGAAATTGAAACCCAGAACAGAGCAATAACGAGTTCTGAAATTGAATCTGTAGTAAAAAACTTACCAATCAGAAAAAGCCCAGGACCAAATGGATTCAAAGCCAAATTCTACTAGACATATTAATATCAAGAGCTGGTACAATTCCTACTGAAGCTATTCCAAGAAATTGAAGAGGAGGGATCCCTCCCTATCTCGTTCAATGAGGCAGCATCATTCTGATACCAAAACCTGGCAGAGATGCACAAGAAACAAAAACTTGAGGCCAGTCAGTATTCTTGACGAACATAGATGCAAAAATATTCAACAAAATACTAGGACACTGAATCCAGCAACATATCAAAAAGCTAATCCACTAGGCCAGGAGCAGTAGCTTTTACATGTAATCTCAGTACTTTGGGAGGCCAAGGCAAGTTGATTGAGGACAGGAATTCAAGACCAGTCTGTGCAACATGTTGAGTCCCCATCTCTACCCAAAAAAACTACAAAAATTAGCTGGGTGTGGTGGCACATGCCTGTAGTCCCAGCTACTTAAGAGGCTGAGGTGGAAGGATGGCTTGGGCCCAGGAGGCAGAGGTTGCAGTAAGCTGATATTGGGCCATGGTACTCCAACCTATGTAACAGAGCGAGACCCTGTCAAGAAAAAAAAAAAAAAAGCTAATTCACCATGATCAAGTAGGCTTTACCCGAGTTGCAAGACTGGTTGGGCATATGCAAATCAATGACTGTTATCTGTCGCATAAACGGAGCTAAAAATCACATGACCATTTTAATAGATGCAGAAAAAGTTTTCAGTAAAATTCAACATCGCTTAATGTTAAAAACCCTCAACAAACTTGACATTGAAGGAACACACTTCAAAATAATGAGAGCCATGTATGACAAAGCCAGCATCATACTGAATGGGCAAAAGCTTGAGAACTGGAAGAAGACAAGATTGCCTACTCTCAACACTCCTATTTAACATAGTACTAGAAGTCCTAGCCAGATCAATCAGGCAAGAGAAAGAAATAAAAGGCATCCAAATAGGAAGAGAGGAAGTCAAACTATCTCTGTAGATAATATGATTTTGTACCTAGAAAACCCCACAGTCTGCCCAGAAATTTGTAAGTCTGACAAACAACTTCAGCAAGGTTTCAGGATACAAAATTGATGTGTAAAAATCCATAGCATATCTATACACCAACAGCATCCAAGCTGAGTGCCAAATCAAGAATGCAATCCCTTTTACAATAGCTGCGAAAAATAAAATACCTAGCAATACAGCTAATCAGGGAGGCGAAGGTGAAAGAGCTCTGTAATGAGAATTAGGAAACATTGTTAAAAGAAATCAGAGATGACACAAACAAATAGAAAAATATTCCATGCTCATGGATCGAAAGAATCAATATTGTTAAAATGGCAGTAGTGCCCAAAACAACATACAGATTCAGTGCTATTCCTATCAAACTGCCAATGACATTCTTCACAGAATTAGAAAAGACGATTTTGAAATTTCTATGAAACCAAAAAGCAGCCTGAATAGCCAAGGCAATCCAAAAATAAGCAAAAAGAGCAAAGCTTGGAGGTATCACCTTACCTGATTTCAAACTATACTTCAAGTCTTTAGTAATCGAAACAGCATGGTACTGTTACAAAAACAGTGACATAGACCAATGGAACAGAATAGAGAGCCCAGATATAAAGCCTCACACCTACAATCATCTGATCTTCCCCAGAGTTGACAAAACAAGCAATGGGGAAAGGACTTCCTATTCAGGAAATGGTGCTGAGTTAACTGGCTAGCCATATACAGAAGGTTAAAACTGGACACCTTTATTACACCATATGCAAAAAGTTAATTCATGGTGGATTAAAGACTTAAATGTAAAACCTAAGACTATAAAAACCCTTGAAGAAAACCTAGAAAATACAATTCTGGCCATAGGCCCCAGCAAAGATTTCATGATGAAGATGCCAAAGCAATTGGAACAACAACAACAAATTGACAAATGAGACCTAATTAAAGAGCATCTGCACAGCAAAGAAACTATCAATAGAGTAAACAGACAACCACAGAATAGGAGAAAATATTTGTAAACAGTGCATCTGACAAAGGTCTAATATCCAAAATCTATAAGGAACTTAACAAGCAAAAAACAACTCCACTAAAAACTGGGCAAAGGACATGAACAGACACTTTTCAGAAGAAGACATACATGCAGCCAATGAGCATATGAAAAAATGCTCAACATTGCTAATCATTAGATAGAAATCAAAACCACATTGAGACACCATCTCACACCAGTCAGAATGACTATTATTAAAAAGTAAAAAAATAACAGATGCTTCTGAGGTTGCAGGGAAAAGGGAACACTTAATACACTGCTGGTGGGAATGTAAATATGTTCAGCCACTTATTTTCACGATTTCTCAAATAACTTAGAATTACCATTTGACCCAGCAATTTCATTATTGGGTATATACCCAAAGGAATATACATTGTTCCGTCGTAAAGACACATGCACAAATATGTTAATTGCAGCACCATTCACAATAGCAAAGACATGGAAGTGACCTAGATGCCCATCGGTGGTAGACTGGTTAAAAGAAATTCGGTACATATGCTCCATGGGTTACTACACAGCGATAAAAAAGAACAAGATTATGTCCTTTGCAGCAGCAACGTGGTTGGAGCTGGAGGCCATTATTCTGGATGAATTAATGCAGGAGCAGAAAACCAAATACCACTTAGAAGTGGGAACTAAATATTGAGTATACATAGACACAAAGAAGGGAATAAGACACCAGAGCTGCTGCCTTTTTTGTGTGTGTGAGATGGACTCTCGCTCTGTTGCTCAAGCTGGATGGAGTACAGTGGCGCCATCTCAGCTAACTGCAACCTCTGCCTCCCGGGCTCAAGCGATTCTTCTGCCTCAGCCTCCTGAGTAGTTGGGATTACAGGCACGTAGCACCACGCCTGGCTAATTTTTGTATTTTTAGTAGAGACAGGGTTTCACCATGTTGTCCAGGCTGGTCTCAAATGTTGGACCTCAAGTGGTCCTCCCACCTCGGCCTCCCAAAATGCTGGGATTACAGGTGTAAGCCCTGCGCCTGGCCAACACCGGAGCCTTCTTGAGCAGGGAGAGTTGGTAGAGGGTGAGGAAGGGAAAAGTACCCATTGGGTACTGTGCATATTACCTGGGTGACAAAATAATCTAGACACCAAATCCTTTCCATATGTAATTTACCCATGTAACAAACCTGCACAGAGTTTTTTCTAAACAAAAAACTTATTTATTTATTTTCAGATAGAGTTTCACTCTGCCACCCAGGCTGGAGTGCAGTGGTATAATCTCAGCTTACTGCAACCTCCTCCTCTTGGGTTCAAGTGATTCTCCTGCCTCACTCAGCCTCCTGAGTAACTGGGATTACAGGTGTGTGCCACTACACCTGGCTAATTTTTGTATTTTTGGTAGAGATGGGGTTTTATCTTGTTGGCCAGGCTGGTCTCGAACTCCTGATCTCAGGTGATCCACCCGCTTGAGCCTCCCAAAGTGCTGGGATTATAAGTGTGAGCTTGGCCTTACTCTTTATTTTAAAAAGATAACTATAGTAGGCTTTTTTTTACTTCTAAGGATGGAAATGGGAAATCATTTGGAACAGTCTTTATGATAGTTAAAGAGAAAAATGCCAAAGACTTGGTTTAAGGCAGTGGAAATGAAATAGAGGGGGCACATTTTAGACTTGGTGAAGCAGCTACTACTTGGGATGCATAAAGGAGAGAAGGGAGGCAAGGATAAGTTTTTAGTTTTAAAGTCCTTGTCACATATCTTAGAGACTTTTAGTAATAGGCAGTTGGAAATGTGAGTTAGGAAATTAGGATTGAGTGAGATGAATGTAGTCTAGTGATTTTTGAAACGTTTGAAATATGACTCTTAAGACTGTCAGGACTTCAAATCTCTGACACTGTCACTAAGATGGGAAATAAGCATATATCTCTTAAAGAACTGTTGAGATTGTGAGTGTAAACCTATCAATAAGTGATGCTTGGCATTATTCTGTCTGTCTATCAGAACTAGGAATGAATGTTTCGCAGCAAAAGGATAAGAGTTTAAGAGGGAAAGACTGGTCTAGTTAGATTCTGGAAAGTTAAGTATGTGAGCTATATCATTAGCTTTTTATGGAATTAACTCACTTGAGTTGTGCTTTAATGTTCTTCTGTAATTCTATTGATAGTGAATATAAAAAGTGTTGCAAGAAATCTTCCTTTCACCTGTCTTGAAGATGTCATGGTGTTCAATGTTTTCTATGGAAAAATCCTTGTAATTATTTCTTCAAAGAGTTTAGTACTAGAAAAAATGTTTTTTTGCTCAAGCAAATTGGTATTATTTTACTAAGCAAGTGATTTTTAAACTTCTGTTTTCTGTTTTTTATCTTGGCCATTTCAAAATGTCTGAGCTTAATGCTTGATTGAAATATTTTTCTTAACCTGTATTTTTGGTTTAATAATCAACATTTAATCTTTTATTATGTGGCTCTATTGTATCTTTTCAGGTGCTTACACAACAGAAATTTATTGTCTCAGGATTGGAGGCTGAAAGTCTAAGATCAAAGTGTTGGCTGGATTGCTGCCTTCTGAGGGCTGTGGAGGATAATCTATTCAATGTCTCTCCCCTTAGCTTTTGGTTTGCTGACAGTCTTGGATATTTCTTGGCCTGTAGAAACATTTTCCCTGTGAAAACATGAAACAATCACTTGTTTCATCTTTACATGATGTTTTCCCTTTGTGTGTGTCTGTGTCCAAAGTTCCCTTTTTTTACAGTGTCACCAGTCATATTGGATTAGGGCTACCCTAATGGCCTCATCTTAGTTAATTATATCTGAAGTGACCCTATATTCAAATGAGGTCACATTGCAATGTACAGGGCATTAGCACTTCAACATAGGAAGGTGGTGGGGATAGGGGAAACACTTGAACTTCTAACAGTTGTGTGGCTAAATGAAATAATAACCTAAAATGCCTTATGGAACTTTGGAGTTAGGTACAGAATTGAGAATTTGAACTTGATCTCTTTATGACTCTCCGCAGAAGCTTTATCATAAGCACAGTGTTTATAGTCATTAATCGTTGTTTTCTTACAGTTCTCTGACTTTTTCCTTAGTTTGTGAACTTTTGGGGGAATTCCAGCTTTTCAAACAGTATGTCTTGTCCACCTGCTTTGGATTTCAGTCTTTTCTTCCAGACAGCTTCTATGGGTTTTAAAACAGATGTGTAAATATTCCAACCTACCTTTTTGTCATTTATTTTAAAAAGAGGAAAACCTACATGGAAAGTTTTCCCTAATACATTCTGTTACAAAGAGCACATTAGTGTTTCATCAAAAAAAGCAGGCTACTTTTTGCAAATAAATTAAAAAGTGGATTTGGCACTTAATATCAACTGGGCATGCCAATATACTGAATTATTATCACAGCAGCCTTGGAAAGTAGATGCTACCATTTTAGTGTTACAGAGGAAGAAACTGAGACTTAAATCTACTGTTGAAGGTCAGTAGTTGGCAACTGGCTGAAACAGACCTCATGGTCAGTATTTGTTAAAAGCTTATGCTCATTCCACAGTCTAATAAAGACAAGGATGGTGTATCTGCTGAGGGGGTGGAGAAGCCCCTGTTTCTTGGATCTCCACCCACTGTACTGTCATCTGGCATCTCTGAGGTCTCAGTTTCCTCACAGAAAAGTGCAGGCAATTGGCCGGGTACTGTGGCTCACGCCTGTAATCCCTGCACTTTGGGAGACTGAGGCAGGTGGATCACTTGAGCTCACAAGTTTGAGACCACAACCTGAGCAACATGGCAAAACCCCAACCCTACTAAAAATGCAAAAAATGAGCTGGGTGTGGTGGTGCGTGCCTGTAGTCCCAGCTACTTGGGAGGCTGAGGCACAAGAATCTGCTTGAACCCAGGAGGTGGAGGTTGCAGTGAGCTGAAATCATCCCACTGCACTCTAGCCCAGGCAACAGAGTGAGACTCTATCTCAAAAAAAAAAAAAAAGGCATTTAAGTGAAAATAAATGTTTGTACAAATGTGCTAGGCTGGGCTTGGTGACTCATGCCTGTAGTCCCAGGACTTTGGGCGACTGAGGAGGGAGGATTGCTTGAGTGCAGAAGTTTGAGGCTGCAGTGAGCTGATTATGCCACTGCACTCCAGCCTGGGTGACAGAGAGAGGGAGACTGTCTAAAAAAATGACAACTTCTTGCCACCAAGCTTACAGAAAAAAAAAAACCACTAACAAAAATGTGCTATTAGATTAAGGAATACCAAAAAGAGAAAGGTGTATATAATTACAGATAGATCAAATGTAGTTACAGATAATTTAAGGCCGAATGCAGTGGCTTACATCTGTAATCCCAGCACTGTGGGAGGCCAAGGCAGGAGGATCGTTTGAACCCAGGAAGTTTTTTTTGAGACAGCGTCTCTTACTGTCACCCAGTCTGGAATGCAATGGCATGATGACAGCTCACTGCAGCCTTCAGCTTCCCAAGCTCAGGAGTTTGAGACCAGCCTGGGCAACATGAGACCTTGTCTCTACAAAATGAAATAAAATAAAATAAATTCAAACAAAACAAAGCTCAGATAATTTAGATTAGTAGATAGTACAGAAATATGTGAAAATTTAAATACTGTGGTTGAAGACAGCAATAAAAGGAAGTTTTTTTTTTGTCGAATGATGTAAATAGTATCTTAAGAGGTAAAGGTTTTAACAGCTTGGACTAATTGGTGAATACTTTCTAAGAAGGGGGAATAAAAAAAAAATAACGTTTATGATGACCTAGGAGAAAAGATGCTAGCCACTTTACTTTAGATTATTTTACTTGACGTCATACCACAACCCTGTGAGATGGCATTTAAACTCTTTTTTCAGATGAAGAAATGAAATTTACAGTTATTTGCTCATGCTCATATAGTTAGTAAATGGCACAAGTAGGATTCAAACTCAGTGTGTAACTCCAAGTATTTTTTCTTTCTCATCATACCTGAGTCTTGAAGAACAGGGAGCCAAGTATGTGTATTAGAAATTGATTGTACTCCAGATGGTAAAGTGTGGGAGATTTTAAGCATGTAGTGAATATATCATTGTGACTGGAGGAGAAAGTTCAGTCATGTTATGATTCTTGTAAAGATCTTACAGTAGGTGTATACTTTTATTATTTAATGCCATGATCTTTAATCTTTCTGAAATATTGGTGTAACGTATTCAATTCGTTCCCTAGATGGATACTCAGTTGTCTTAAGTCCATTTATTGAATCCCTTTTTCCTTTACTAATTAAAAGAAAAAAATCTTTATTGGCCAGGCATAGCGGTGTGCGCCTGTAGTCCCAGCTACTTAGGAGGCTGAGGTGGGAGGATTGCTTCAGCCCCGAAGGCCGAGATTACAGTGAGCCGAGATTGTGCTACTGCACTCCAGCCTGGGCAACAAAGCTGTCTCAAAAAAAAAGAAAAAGAAAAGCTTTATTGAAATATAATTTACATGCTATTAAATTCACCTGTTATAGGTACAATTCAATTATTTTTAGTAACTACATAGAGTTGTACAGTTTTTTAAAATAACTTTAAGATGTTTATTTTTCATAACTCTTAATTGAAGTTTGATTGTAGATGGTATGATTTTCATTTTATAATTGATGGTAATCTGCATTTTATAAGCATTTTGCCCAAGACTTTGTGGCTAGTGAATGGCAGAACCGAGACGCCAACCCAGCACCTTTTAGGAATATTAGCATGATAATTGAGAACAAATTGGAGGGTATGCTAATGTCAGCCTAAGAAGTTTGGATTTCATCCTTTAGCGTGAGAATCACAAGCATCTTTGTAATGCCCTACTCAGCGCTTGTAGCTGGGTACTTTTTGGAAAGTGTCTTCTATAATGGAACTGTAGTCTCTGAAAATGCTCTATGTAGGAAGGGTTCCCTCGTCAAGTAAATTTGGGAAGTACTCTGTCTTTTTGGATTATCACAGTTCACATTGTATACACATACCCTGGGAAGCTGTACAGTAAAGAAATGGGTTTACTTTTATTTTTTAACTCGTATTCCCCCAGAGGTTTCCAAGTTTCTTGACCATAGAAGACCTTTCAAGTAACACTGCTCTAGTAGGATGTTTTTGAAGATTTAGACTCAATTCATTAAGACGAGATAAGTCTGAAAAAGAAAACTAAGCTGCAAAATTGGATTTTTTAAAAAGTAGGTTATTATTATGTACATTTATCTGTTAATAGTTGTGGGGTAACTGCTGCTGACAGATGCAGAAGTTCTGATTCTTTAGGTATAAGATCCTTTGGTCCAAAGTTTGAAATTTTGTCTCTCTACCTGGTTGATCCTGCCAGTAGAAAAAAAAATTTTGTCTCTTGATTTATACTTGTATTTCCTTTTTTTGGTAGAGATGGGGTCTTGCTTTGTTGCCCAGCTTGGTCCTGAATTCTTGGGCTCAAGTGATTATCCCACCTTAGCCTCCCCCAGAGTGCTGAGATTAGACATGAGCCACCATGCCTGGCCCCATTTCTTTTAAAAATTTGAAAGACTGTTTAGTATAGTAGCAAGATTTTTTGTTGGTTTGTTTTTGTTTTTTGTGTTCTTTTTTTTTTTTTTTTTTGAGACAGAATCTCACTCAGTTGCTCAGGCTGGAGTGCAGTGGTACGATATCAGCTCACTGAAACCTCTGCCTCCCGGGTTCACACAATTCTCTGTCTCAGCCTCCCATGTAGCTGGGATTACAGGTGTCTGCCACCATGCCCAGCTAATTTTTGTTTTAGTAGAGATGGGGTTTCATCATCTTGGTCAGGCTGGTCTTGAACTCCTGACCTTGTGATCCACCTGCCTCAGCCTCCCAAAGTGCTGGGCTACAGGTGTGAGCCACTACACCCAGCCTGCAGGATTACTTTTATGTCCCAGTTGTACCCTTTACTAGTATTGTGGCTTTGGGCAAGCTATTTAGTCTCTGAATCACAGTTTGCTTGACCATAAAATAAAAAGATTATCAACTTTGCCACAGTTGTTATTCAGATGGAGATTCATATCTACAATAATGGTTGTTCAATTTGTTAGTATTCTATGGTATCTCAGTTCATTTCTGCAGCTATAACAAAATATTGGAGACTGGGTAATTTTTATAGAACAGAAATTTGTTTTTCAGAGTTCTCAAGGCTGGGAAGTCCAAGATCAAGGTGTGGGTTGGTTTGGTGTCTGATGAAGGCTGCTGTGTATGTTTCAGGATGGTGCCTTGTTGCCAGGTGCTCACATGGTAGAAGGGTCTAACAGTTTCTTTGTGTTTCATAAGGGTACTGATTCCATTAACATCATGACATGCTCCACCCTCATGACTTAATCACCGTCTAAAGGCCCCAACTCTTAATACTATCACATTGTCAAGTTTCAACACATGAATTTTGCAGGGGGTGGAAGGGAGATTCAGACCATAGGATTCTGCCCCCAGCCCCTTGAATCTATATCTTTGTCCCCTGCAAAAAAACATTAATTCTATCCTAATCGTCTCAGAAGTCTTCTAGCACCAATTCAAAAGTCCACAGTCTCATCTAAATTAGGTATGGGTGAGACTCAATTGTTCATCCTAAGGCAAAGTGTTTTCCAGCTATGAGCCTGTGAAATCATACAAGTTACAGTTTTTGGGAAATATAGTGGTAGGACAGACATAGTATAGATACTTCCGTTCAGAAACGGAGAAATTATAAAGAAGAAAGGGATAACAGTTCCCAAGAAAGCCCAAAACCCAGCAAGGCAAACAACATTGAATCTGATGCCTGAAAATAATCTTAACTTCTTTTCTTGCCTTCTGGACACACTGGGAGTCAGGGTGGGTCCTGAAGGCTCTAGGGAACCCCACCTCTATGGCTTTATCTGGGGCAGTCCCTAATGCAGCTCTCACATGTTCGAGTCTGGTGCCTCTGACTCTCCTAGGCTGTTGTTACATGTTGGTGGCTGCATAGTTCCGGGGTCTCTGGAACAGCCTTGCCTTCACAACTTCAACAGACATTACCCTGATAAGAGCTCTCTGCTGCAGCCTGCCCCCATGGCACTTCTCCATCTAGCCCCTGAGACTTTCTGAGAAATCCTTTGAAATCTAGGTGGGCATAGCCATACCTCTGAGTGTACTGCACTCCTGAAGAGTTAACACCATGTGGGCATCGCCAAGGTTTACCAATTGGACCCACTTTTGCCCTCCAGAGTGGTGGCCTGAGCTGCACCTGGCCTCACTTGAGCCACAGTGGGGCAGTCAGAGAGCCTTATTTGGGAATAAGGGGAGCAGAGATGTGAGGCAACCCTGGGCAGCTGGACCTCTCCCTAGAAAATAGTTCTGTACACAATGCTCTGCCATTGTGGGCCTGTGGTGGGGTCTGGCAGCCTTCAAGCAATCTAAAATTTGTTTGGGTTCATTCTTCCATTGTCTTGATGAATATCACCTGCTTTCTTGTGTCTATACAGATCTCATTTTAAAAATTTTATTTAACTTTTTTTATTTTAATTTTTTTTTTTTTTAGAGATGGGGTCTCACTATGTTGCCCAGGCTGGTTAATCACCTTATCAAAAGATTGCTTGGTCATGCTTGTGATACTCTCTTCCAATACCACCCCCCACCCCCCACCCCCCGTTTTTTTATTTTGAGGCAGTGTCTTACTCTGTTTGCCAGGCTGGAGTGCAGTGGTGCCGTCTTGGCCCACTGCAGCCTCCATCTCTAGGGTTCGAGTGATTCTCCTGCCTCAGCCTTTAGAGTAGCTGGGAATACAGACACATGCCACCATGCCTGGCTAGTTTTTGTATTTTTATTAAAGACAGGGTTTTGCCATTTTGGGCAGGCTGGTCTCGAACTCCTGACCTCAAGTTATGTGCCCACCTTGGCCTCCCAGAGTGTTGGGATTATAGGCGTGAGCCACCATGGCTGGCCCAATACCCATTTTTAATCTTTACAACCTAGCCAGGCTGATAATTTTCCAAATTTTTAAATCCTGCTTCCCTTTTCATTGTAAATTTCATCTTTAGGCCAGGTAAGGTGGTTCATGCCTGTAATCCTAGCACTTTGGGAGACTGAGGTGGGTGGATCGCTCGGGCTTGGGAATTCAAGACCAGGCTGGGCAACATGGTGAAACCTTGTCTCTACAAAAAAAATACAAACAAAAAAAAATTAGCCAGGTGTGGTGGCTTGTGCCTGTAGTCTCACCTAGTTGGGGGCCTGAGGCAAGAGGATTCCTGGAGCCCAGCAGATGGAGGTTGCAGTAAGCCTAGATTGTGCCACTGCACTCCAGCCTGTGTGAACGAGTGAGACCCTGCCTCAAAAAAAAAAAAAAAAAAAAAAAGGGGTTTAATTCATTTCTCACATTTTCAGAAGTCAAGTGTACGTATATGTGTGTGTAGGATGTTTACTTTAAAAAATAACAATTTAAACTATTGATTTCTGGCCATATCAGCACTCCCTTGCCACCTACTCCTGTTTTGGTTAAGTCCAGTCAGCTGTCCTCTGTTAGGGAGCATAAGGTTTCTTCAGTCAAAGTTGTGTATCTGAAACCATTGTTAATGTAGTGAAAATCACTACCTGAAATTTGGTTATTTTTGGGGACACATTCTATTTCTTAATGATAAGGTGTTATTAAAAGGTGAGAAATTTATAAGATGGTTTTATTGTCCTCTGACAACAGTTTAATATTAATCAGTTTTTACCTGTATTTCATTATGCTTATGTGCAGTGGACCTTGCTTTCAAGGAAGGTAAAAATCTATTAAGATAAGACAAGACATTGACCATAGATAATTGAATTCTTGGCATATTCAGTTATTGTTCTGTTGGATTGTATAAAAGGCGAAAAGAGAGAAAATTGGATTTGAAATTTATAGAAAACAAATAAATACCTTTGAAGTGAAAAGCATTTGAAATAAAAATGCTATATTAGAAAACAATTTGACTCTGGAGTTGTATACTCTATTTTGGTGTAACCATTCTATTTTATTAGGAAATTGTGGAGAGTAGATGCCCTAAGGGTTTTGGTGGAGTGGAGGAACCTCTCCCTTATGGATTTCTCTATCATCATCATCATCATCATCATGAAAGTAACTACATTGTAAAAAAGTCATAAGATAAATGACAAATATCTTTCTTTCTTTTTTTTTTTTAAGATGGAGTTTCACTCTTGCTACCCAGGCTGGAGTGCAATGGTGCGATCTTGGCGCACTGCAACCTCTGCCTCCCGGGTTCAAGCAATTCTCCTGCCTCAGCCTCCTGAGTAGCTGGGACTACAGGCGTGTGCCACCATGCCCAGCTAATTTTGTGTTCTTAATAGAGACGGGGTTTCTCCATGTTGGTCAGGCTGGTCTCAAACTCCTGACCTAGTGATCTGCCTGCCCTGGCCTCTCAAAGTGCTGGGATTACAGGTGTGAGCCACCACCCAGCCTTCTCTCTATTACACTCTCACACAACCAGATGTATTGACAATCTTGTGTGGAGTTTTTTCCCCACACCGACCAATTCTTCAATTATCCAGTTGCCTGCTGGGTGTCCTGCAGTTCAGTTATGACACTACCTGGAGTTAGCACAGGCTCCAGAGGTTAAGGGCTCAGTCATACAAGAATGCTCCCCACTTCAGATACCAGTCACAATTAATGGGTCCCCAGATTATCCATACTTCTATCCAACTTGACTACAAATTAGGAGTTCCCATGACCCTTCCTCAGGTTTGATAATTTGCCAGGATGGCTCATAGAACTCAGGGAGGAAACACTTACTTACTTGACTGGTTTATTACAAAGGATACAGATGAACAGTCAAATGAAAAGATAGATAGAGCAAGGATTTTTTTCTCTGTGGAGTTGGGGTGTGCCACCCTCCTGGCTTATAAATGTGTTCACTGACCCATGAACTCCTTGAACCCCACTGTTCAGAGATTTTTATGGACACTTCATTTTGCAGGCAAGGGAAATTATTAACTCAGTCTGTAGCCCCTCTCTCCTCATTGGAAGATGGGTGGGTAGGGGTGAAACTTCTAAACTTGTAATCAGGGCTTGGTCTTTGTGGTGAACAGCTCCCATCTAGGTACCTCATTAGAACAAAAGAGTCACCTCTTTAGAACAAAAGATTCTTCTATCACCCTGGAAATTCCAAGGGATTTAGGAGGTCTGTGTTAGGAACTGAGGTTAAAGACCAAATATTTGAACAAAAGATGCCCCTAGCACCTATTGCTTAGGTAACAAGTTTTTTTAGGAGCTCTGTGCTAGGAACTATAGATAAACACAAAAGAAATATATATTTATTTCACAATATCACAGACACATACAGTTATTTAGTCTTTATTATCATTTTCTATAATTGTTTATATGGGAAAATTTTAAACTTTGATAAAAGTAGAGAGGATAGTGTCATCCCTGTCACCAAGCGTCAACAATGATTGGTATTTTCCCAGTCTTATTTTGTCTGTCCTTCTATTTTAGTTTTATTTTGCTGAATTGTGTTAAATATATCCTGGGCATTAATTACCATGAGTTTGAATTATTTCATAGTAGTTTTTCAGTGGATTTGCTTAATCATTCTGTTAGACATGTCGACCTACAAGGAAGAAACTGAGGTAAAATTAATAAAAATAGAGAGTCAGCTGGGCACAGTGGCCCTGTAATCCCAACACTTTGAGAGGCCAAGATGAGAGGATCATTTGAGGACACAAGTTCAAGGGCAAGAGTTTGAGACCAGTCTGAGGAACATAACAAAATCTCGTCTCTACAAAACAAAAGAAAAGTAGAGAATATATTTGGGCCAAACTTGAGAATTGCAACCCTCAAGGAGCATAGATTCAAGTTGCCCTGAACATATCCTCTGATAAGCAGTAGTGGATTTTTAAAGGTAAAATAGGGTACAGGGAGTGAAAGTGTGTTAGGAATTCTCATTGGCATACAGAAATAACATTAATTCGGCTATGCCTTATTAAGCTGTAGGGTGTGGGTTACAGTGTCCAATGTGTCATTATTAGGTTAATTTATAGCTGCTTGTGGCAGTAGAAGGCAGTTTCAAGAGATGAGTACATAGCTCAAAGTGGGGAGTAGACCATGACTGCTGTCTCATTTTAATTCCTCTCTGGGCCTGATACTGAAAGGGTTTGCATTCCTCAAATAATAAGAAGTTCTTTTTTTCCCCAGACATTTCACATTGTTTCTAATTTTTTCTTAAAATAATACCTATAATATTTGTATATAAATCAACTTGATGAACTTTTTCTATATAAATATTTAGGTGCTTCTCATGGTATTCTTCAGCCATATCCTGAAGTTATAATCACTAAAAGATATGAACCATTAAAATAAACTTTGTAATTATAAAAGCAGTATATTTTCATTATGGATATTTGGGAAATAAATTTAAAAGATAACAAAGACAATAAAAATTACCTCAGATTTTTTTCCAAAGAGACCCACATTTTTGTAGGTTGCTTATTACTGGGGGCTGAAGGGTGATTCTCGATAACTCTACTCTGTCTGGAAAAGAGCAAGCCCACTTACAGCCCAGCTTACCGTTAAACTAGCAGATTAGAAAATAGCTGCATGCTGAGTACTTATCAGGAAGTAACGTCCAAGACACAGTGTTGTGTTGATTGCTCTAATAGTTCTACAGTCCTTCAGTATCATCCTACCTTAAACTCAACTGTCAGTATTCCTCAATTCCATCCACTAGCTACTTCAGCATTTCTTCCCCCTGAATTTTGAGTTAGTGTGCGTCTGTCTGCTGGTTTGTTTCAAAAGATGTGTTGTGAGACAACAGTCTTGAGAAAATTGTTTCTGTTTACCGCCTTGATAATTCACAGGAGAAATTGTTGTCCTTTTAGTAAGTTGAAGAAAGAAAACTTGAGGAAACTGGAAATGCAAGTGTTAGAAACTTATGTGCTTGGGGGCTATTTGGTGATTCATATAAAATAAGTTACTTAGGTGGGAAATATTTAGTCAGCTTGAGCATTGTTAACAGATTTCTAGATTCAAGCCAATTTTATTTGATCCTGCCTGTTATGAACTGGTAAATAAAAATAAGTATCACAGAGATTTGAGACTTTACAACTTATTTAGGAACACAGAAGTGAAATCAATGTTTCATCCTCTGAAATAATTTTAAATACTTGAATTTTCCTTCTCTTTCAGTTACAGGAATGGATGGAGGTGCTTTAACTGATACGAGTCTCACAGATTCCTATTTTAGCACAAGCTTTATTGGAGTCAATGGATTTGGAAGCCCTGTAGAAACAAAATATCCCCTGATGCAGGTATCCTTAGTTTAAATTCATATTGCACTAAACTATGAAGTTCATTCTAGAACCAGGGGACATATAGAGTCTTCATTTATTCCTACATTGGTTGGGTGGGAGGTGAGATTTTAGGAGGCAGTGAGATGGGTGAGATATAGGTAAACCATCTCCCATAGAGCTGGAGTTAATGAGAGCTTTTGTAAGTAGGGGTTTGGTAGGGTTAGGGGCAAGAGTGATAGGAGTATGTAGAGAGTAGAGAGAGACTAATTTCACTTGTACGTTTTGTATGTATGTTAGTTAAACTTATATTTTGAGCAGTTTATACATGTATTATAAAAGTTAAGTTACGAAAGGATCTCCCTCCTCTTACTACTCACCACCTTTCCAGTTAATCTTCCTAGAGATAGCTACCATTACTGGTTACACATTTCCTATGTATCCTCTCAGGAATATTCTTTGCATATAGAAGCATATTGCTAGCTTTATTTTGTTTAATGCTTAAAATGTTAAATTTAAAGTCATAGTACTTGGAGCATTTTACATGAAAAATGTCTGAATTTTTTTTAACCCCACTTTGTTCTTTTTGGCTCCTTTTTTCCCCTTTGTTTGTCATATGACTGCAGGTAATGCTCAGGACATTTGTGTATAGATTAGTTTTTGTTGAGGAGTATTGAACAATTTTGTAGAATTGGAATAAAGTTGTAAGGCATTCTAGTGTTCTTAATTGGAAAACTGCCATAATGGTAAAGGCAATGTATTGTCCTTTCTAGTTTCTGTGATGTACTACTGGATGTTTTTTTCCATTATTACAATAAGATATTTAAACACAAGACAAATTTGTCTTTACATTTCTCTCTCTCTCTCTCGCTTTGTCTCTGTCTCTCTCTCTCTCTCTCTCTCTCTCTCTCTCTCTCTCTCTCTCTCTCTCTCTCTGGAGACAAGGTCTTGCTGTGTCACTCAGGCTGTAGTGCAGTGGTGTGATCATGGCCCACTGCAGCTTCAACCTTCTAGGCATGAGCGATCCTCCTCTTGCCTCAGCCTCCTGAGTAGCTAGGACTACAGGTGTGTGCTAGCCTGGCTAATAAAAATAATGGCCTCCCAA